GGAAAGGGGAAAGGAGGGGGAGATAGAAGAAAAGTGTGAAAGCACCCCCCAGAGGCTATGGTCATGCTGCAGTCCCTTCTCTGTTCTCCTCCTGGCATTTTGGACATGCATAGATATGTACCAGTGTGAATTTCAAACTGCCAGGTCTGGGACTTCAACCGTGGTTGGCCATATGGGGGTCCACCTTCTTAACCACCACACTACCTGCTGGGCCCACAACATGATTTTCATTACATCCAGTTTCTATTATATTATATTATATTCATGTATTATTGAATGTTTGTTATTTGGGTCATCTTTATTATTATTCACCTTTGTAATGTGTTTTGAAATCAAGACAAACTTATTTTTCATTTACCAGATGCATACTTCTACTGGAGGAGGATTTTGTGACTGTGGAGACACAGAGGCCTGGAAAACTGGCCCTTTTTGTATAAGTCATGAACCTGGGAGAGCAGATGCCACAAAAGAGGTAAGAATATTTTCTTTAACTTAAGGATGACCTCATAGACATGGGGAGTAGAAGAATGGGCCTTAGAGACTGGAAAGAGCATTGAGGTGGGAAGAGGTGAAAGAGGAATGTTGGTTAAATGGAAACAAAATTACAGATAGATAGGGTGAACAAGTTCTAGTGTTAAAAAATTATTCTAGGATAATGATAGTTAAAAAGGACTTACTGAGTCAGCAGGTGACTTTGTGGTTAAGACACTGGACCCCACATGTCCCAATCTGTGATTCAAGTTCTGGATCTGGCAGCCTGAAAAACATTCTAGATACATTGGTGTGCATGCCCACAATCGCAACAGAGAATGGAGAAGAAGGGATTGTGGCATAGCCATCCCCCCTAGGGGGTGATTTCTCACTTTCCTTCTCTCTCTGTCTGTCTCTGGTGAGTGCCTGCACCAAATAGCAAAAAATCTAAACAAAGCCAAAATAATTTACTGTATAACTCAAATTAGCACAAAGGAAGGATTTTCAATATTTCCATTCCAACACAATGTATTGACAAATGGTTAAGTGATTGATATGCTCATAACTCATACTTAATCATTACACATTTTATCCTTGTACAAAAAAAAAGTACATATTTACCCCAGACATATTTACAACCATTAGATGTTAATTAAGAAAGGAAATTTTAAAAAATTGTTATTTTGGGGGCCGGCAGGTGGCATGGTGGTTAAGGTGACTGAACTCCCAGTTGGGTGAACCATTGTTAAAGTCCCACACCTGACAGCTTGCTTTTTCACTTTCCTTCCCTCTCATTGTCTCTCTCTGGTCAACTTCAAAAAAAAAATAAAAAAGACAATGAATAAAATTAAATAAAATAGGGACCAGCAGTTAATGTAATGGCTATGTCGCTGGACTCCCATGTAGTTGACTGTAGTTTGTGTCCCAGACTTGATGGCTTAAAACTCATGCTGGGGCTAACTAGTCATTGCAGGGGACAGGAAAAGTGAAGATTTTCTACTGATTATTCAGCCTCCAGCAAATAAAGCTAGCGTGACAGGAGAGTTGAGGCCTTCAGAAGAGGAGCTAGCGTGACAGGAGAGTTGAGGCCTTCAGAAGAGGATTCCTCATGGCTCCTACTAACTAGTCATTGCAGGGGACAGGAAAAATGAAGATTTTCTACTGATAATTCAGCCTTCAGCACACAAAGCTAGCGTGATTGAACTTCAAGAATTCGAAAGAAAAACACCATCTATCAGATGACAAGAAATCACCGCAGGACCACAAGAAATATGGGAAGGCAAGAAAATCCCTCTCCTCCAAGGGAAAAGAATAACTCCTCTTCATCCACAAGCAGTTCAATGCAAATCATGGAAATGTCTGATAAAGAATTTAGAACATTCATAATGGTGAAGCTAACTGAGATGGAAGAGAAGAGAGACAATGAACTGTTAAAGAGAAAGGAGAAAGAAGTTGACGAGTTCTAGGAGGTGAGGAAATTCTTAGAAGATCTAAAAGAGGAATTACACGCTTTACAAGAGTCAAACGGAACTGTTAGAAATGAAATCTATAATACAGGAAGTCAAAATCTCCCTTGAAAGTATTAAAAGCAGAGTAGATCATACAGAAAATAGAATCTGTTTAAGTGTTAAGAGAAAGGCAATTTCAGCCGAGAATACTGTACCCGGCAAGATTATCTTTCATGTGGGAAGAAAAGAAAAGAACATTCTCAGATAAACAAAACCTGAAAGAGTTTACCAGCACCAGACCAGATCTCTAAGAAGTTCTCAAGGGTGTGCTATATCAGGAAAATTAAATACAGACCCACGGAAAGAAGAGTTCAGAAACTAAGAAAGCGGCCAACTTAATTGTAGGGACAAGTCTGGAGTTGAATTATTATATCCCAGAATTTAATAGGACAAATGGAACCAGAACAGAAGATAAAGTTCATTAAGTCACTATGCAGTATATTCTGGATGGGAAATCACATTTTGTATGCTGTGATGATGCTTAGGGAAATAATGTAAATTAAGTTACAAAAAAAAGAAAAGTTTCAGAAAAAAAAAATCCATTCGATGACCGCAGTTAAGATATATAGCCCCAGCTAGGTGATACTTTATAGGATGCCTAAAGTTAGACTTGTGTTCATGGAAATGTATATATCAGCTGTGTTTGCTACGAAAATATTTAGATTAATTAAGATCTTTAGTAATTCAATAAAAAATGGGGGGGGGAAACAGTATAGAAAGTAAACATAGATACCAGAGATAATGTGGGAAGAGAGTGGGAGATGGCTGAGGGTAAGAGATAGGGAGTCATCAAGGATGGGGGGGAAGCAAAACATACAGGAAACAAGAAATGGAAAATTATTTGTTGACAATAACATGTATGTTGATGTGCTTGATTGAGACAATATACAGTGTACTCTGGAAGGAAAATCTGATTTTGTATGCTGTAATGATGTACAGTGAATGAACGTAAATAAATAAATTAAAAAACAAACAAACAAACAAAAAAACTCATGCCGGGTATGTGTGCGTGCATGTCCAAGGTCCCTAGAGGAGAATGGAGGAGAAGGGATTGCGGTGTGGCCATCCCCCCTGGGGAGGGGGGGTTTCTTGCTTTCTGTCTCTCTGTCTCTGTCTGTCTAGTGAGCGCATGCTCCCTATAGCAAAAACCTCTTCAAAAATAAATAAATTAATTAAATAATTCTAAAAAAATATGCTATTTTGAGACCAGCAGATGGTATGGTGGTTAAGGTATTGGACTCCTACATGGCCCACTGAAGTTTGAGTCTAGGACCTGGTGGCTTGCTTTTCCTCACTCTCCCACCACCCCGTCTCTCTCTGGTCAAATTAGAAAATAATAAGTAAAATTAAGTAAATAAAAACAAATTATTTCTTTTCTTTAAGAGAGATTTTTTGCTGTAGGGTGTGTGCGCTTGCCAGACAGACAGTGAGAAATCACTCCCTGGGTGGGGATGGCCACACCACAGTCCCTTCTCCTCCAGTCTCCTCTCGGGGTCTTGGGCACACATGCACACACATCCAATGTGAGTTTTAAGCTGCCAGGTCTGGGATTTGAACCATGGTCAACTACGTGGGAGTCTGGCATTATGTCACCTGCTGGTCCCAAGTATTTCATTTTTAAAAGATTGCTCTTTCAAGCTTGCTGAAGTTAGATAAGAATAAATGTTATATGTATTTGTTACACCAAATTCTGCTTAGAATACCAATATATTTGGTCTAATATTGAAATGAAAGAAGTTTTTTCCCACTTAAGAGTTAAGAATTTGACAGTTTCATAATGCGGAAAAACTGAAACTTTATGACAGGTTTCCTGTGTCATCACCTAAGAGCAATCTACAATGTTATCATCACTAATAGTGGAATGATGAGATATAGTAAGCCTCTCACATGATGTAAAATGAAGTACACAGTATATTAACAGCTGAAAAATCAACATAATACATCATATAAATAGAATAAAAAATAAAACCACTTGATCATTTCAGTAGTTGCAGCAAAGCATTTGACAAAATCGTGTACCTTTCATGATAAAAACATTTAACATGGTAAGAATAGGAGGGAACTTTCTTAATCTGATAAAGATATCTATAAAAAAACCTCAATAGCTAATATCATAATTAATAGTGAAACACTGGATGCTTTCATCCCAAGATCAGGGATATCTGCTCTTGCCACATCTATTCAGTATTGTATTGGAGGTTCAACTAAGGCATTAAGATTTAAAAAGTAGTAAAAGGCATTCAGATTGGAAAGGAGAAAAAGATAAGAAACAGTAATGTCGTGAACCAGCATTGGTCTTATTAGTACCTTTGATGCCTTTTTAAATATTTATTTTATTTAACTTTAATCACCATCATCATCATCATTATTTATATTTGACCAGAGAGAGAGAGAAAGCAAGCTACCAGGTCCAGGACTCAAACTGCAGTTGGCCATGTGGGAATCCAGCTCCTTAACCTCCATGTCGTCTGCTGGCCCAACCTTGGACACTTTAAAAAATCTCTAACCGGGACCAGAAGTTAGCATAATGGCTATGTTGCTGGACTCCCATGTAGCTAACCACGGTTTGAGTTCCAGACCCGGTGGCTTAAATTCACGCTGGGCACATGTGCGTGTGTGCCCAAGATCCCGAGAAGAGAATGGAGGAGAAAGGATTGCAGTGTGGCCATCCCCCAGGGAGGTGATTTCTCGGTTTCTGTCTCTCTGTCTCTTTCTTTCTGGTAAGTGCATGTGCCCTATAGCAAAAACCTCTTAAAAAAAAAAAGAAACTCTAACCAAGACTTCTGAGCAAAATCTCCAGAGTAAGGATGGTGTGTTTAGAAGGTAGAATTTGAAATCATAAAGCATTGGGAAGTGAGCCAGTAGGTGTAAAAGAATAAATAGGAGTGACCCCAGAATTAAATAATAGTTTGTTAGTCTGTGGAATATTAACGTTATGAGCCTTATACAGAATTTCTACATTTTTTTTTTGAAACTGTCACAAAAAGGACTTTTTATTTGTCACTATTAAAAGTCTGAACTTTAAACAGATTCTTGGACTAATGGTTCATATCCATCAGCTCGTTCAACTTTGGCACCCGTCTCATCCCCAGTAGCTTTTCCAGAGCTACTACCTTCACCATGAAGCTCCATGAGTTTTCCCAATTCAAACTTGGGCTTCTTCAGCATTTTGACTTTCCTGACGAAGACATCGTGAAGAGGGTAGATGGACTGGCAGGCCTTTTCTATGTCTTTTCCGATGCTGTCTGGAATCAGTTTATTGACCACTTCTTTCAAGTCATTTGTCTGCACCTCCCGGGTCATGATTTCCATCATCTTCTTCTGGATTTGGCGGACCTGCTGATGCTGGGCATAAGAGGTCTTCCGTATCTGATTGTTGCATTCTTTAGTAAACCCAACACGGAAGAGACGAAGCAAATAACCATCGGTAGTCTTGACATCGACATGAGCTTCAATCGTGGTCTGCCATTTTTTGACCATGGAACACATTTTATCACGGGTGAGATCCATGCCATGGAAGTTAGTCAGGCAGTTTTTGCCCTGAACGTCCTCAGTAATTAGCTTGAATTTCCTAAATGCGACTTCGTCATTCTGCAGATCTGCCAGGCTCACTTCAAACACACAGCCCTTAAGGCCGTCGGACGCGATTTTGGTTCCTTGAGTCCTGGTAACCAGTGTCTTCCCAATATTTCTTATGTTGAACATAGCAGGTGCTTTCACGTCATACCAATCTTTTTTAGAAAATGGATCAACCACTTTCTTCTTGGTTCCCATTTTGCCGCCTTTCATAAGGCGCTTATTCTTGCCAACCGCCATGGTGCTACTCAGAGAGCCAAAAGGCTACATTTTTTGATATTAAAGACTTACTATGTATTTTTTCCTGTTTACTCTCTTTTTTAGACAGCTTATTGAGATGTAATTTGCATACATATAAAAAACTCACCTACTTAAAGCATACAGTTCAGTATATGTATAGAATTTTTACAGCCATCACTATAATTAATGATAGACTATTTTCTTTGTTTTTTTTAAAGAATTATTTAATTTTATTTATTCGTTAATTTATTTTAATTTGACCAGAGAGAAAGAGAAAGTGAGAAAGCAAACTACTAGGTCGGGGACTTGAACTGCAGTCAGCAGTGTGAGAGTGTCCAGTGCCTTAACTACCATGCCACCTGCTGGCTCCCTCTTTTCTGGATTTTTTTTTTTGGGGGGGGGCGGGGTGGTGGTGCAGATTTTTCCTATAGGGCATGTGCACTCCCTGGAGAGACAGAGGGCAAGAAATCACCCCCCAGGGGGATGGCCATGCTGTAATCCTTTCTCCATTTTCCTCTTGGGGTTTTGGTATACACGCACATGTACTCAGCATGAGTGTCAAGATGCTGGGTCCAGGACTTGAACCGTTGAACCGTAGTCTACCATGTGGGAGTCCACCTTAACCACCATGCCACCTAATGGCCCACCCATAGACTATTTCCATCGCCCCAGAAAAACCCTGTACCCATTAGAAGTTACTCCCCATTTCATCCTAACTCCCTAGTCTTAGGTAACCACAGATAACTTTCTGTCTTCATAAAGTTGCCTATTTTGGACATTTTTTAAAAGTTCATTTTATTCATGATAGTATGTATGATGCATGAAAGAAAGAGAGAAAAAAAATTCAACGGGATCTTGTTATTGCCATACTCTCCTTTCCCTAGTCCCCTTATTCTGGACATTTTATAAACATGTAATCAGAGCTGGCACCATAGCCCAGTGATTAAAGAAGCCAAATTCCACATGTGTGACCATGGTTCAAATGCCAGCCCTGGCATATGTGCATGTGTACCCAAAATGGAGGGAAAAGGATAGTATCATGACCATTCCCAATTGAAAGGTCAAACTCTTTCTCTCTCACATATGCTCTCTCTCTCCCTTTCCATGTCCCTCTCTGGTGAGCACACACCCTCCTGCAATTAAAAAAAATCATGTAATACATAGTCTTTTGTGATTGACTTCTTTCACATCGCTTCATGTTTTCAAGATTGATCCACTTTGTGGCATACCTTCGCTCTTTTATATGGCTAAATTATATTCTGTTTTATAGGTACACCACATTATTTATATGTGTCACTTAATCGACATTTGGGTTGTTTGCACTTTTTGTCTATTAACAATGCCAGAATAAAATTTATGTTAATTTTTGTGTGGATACGTTTTCATTTCTCTTGGGTGTATATTGACAAGTGGGATTATCGTCTTTTGTAACTATGCTTAAAATTTTGAGTAACTGCCTATTTTCTAAAGCAGCTGCACCATTTTACAATTCTATCAGTGTTTACAGGTCTAGTTTCTTTACTTACTGTCCAATACATGTTGTACCAGCAATTTTTATTACAGCCACCAAAATAGATATGATGTGGTATCTCATTGTGGTTTTGGTTTACATTTCCTAACAGCTTGTGATGTGGAACATTTAAATGAATTTTATAACTAGAAATTTTTATAAGCCTTTTACCAATGCTCTGCAATGAAATTTATTTATTTAGTAGTGAAAAGACCTAGGTTTTTAGTCTTGTTTCTGTTATTTATAGGCTCTTTGACCTAGGATGGGTTCTTTTTTTTTTTTTTTAAAGGTTTTTGTCATAGGGCACATGTACTCACCGGAGAGGCAGAGACAGTGAGAGGGAAAGTGAGAAATCACACCCGGGGGTGGGGGGTGGCCACACTGCAGTCTCTTCTCCATTCTCCTCCTGGGATTCTGGGCACATGCCCGGTGTGGTTTTCAAGTCAGTAGGTCTGGGACTTGAATGGTGGTCAGCCATGTAGTAGTCTAGTATCTTGACCACCACTCCTGCTAGCCCCCAAAATTCCTTTTGTGTATATGTATGTGATTTTAAAAAAAAATCTGGCATTATTTTTACCTTCTTTTTATTTTTATTTTTCCCCTTCTTAATTATAATATAGTAAGACTATAGTTTGGCAGTGTTACGTATATTCACATTGTCGTGTAATAGATCTCAACTTTTTGTCTAGCAACGCTAAAACTCTGTATATTCACCAAACACTAATTCCTCAGTTGTGGCTACTTTAGATAACTTCATATGAACAGAATGGTACAATTTTGTCCTTTTGTGACTGGCTGGGTTCCTTATCTTTTAAATGTCATTAATACCTATTCTGCCTTCTTACAGAGTGGCCATGAAATAACATGTTGAAATAAATTATGAGGAGCAATTTTGTAAACTGTGAGGGATGACCAGTTATTATGTGATGTTATCATAATTAGTTTACTCAGAATCCCGAGAGACGAATGGTCATGGGGAAGAATACCACTGAAGAGGCCCTCCATGTTTCTCCTCCTTTCCCTTCTGACATCTCTAATGCCAGCTTGGCCAGAAACGGTTAAACTAAATTGATGTGAGCAGCAACCCTCTTGAGTTCATTTTGAATTCATTCCTGGAGGATGTTATAGCAAACTCACCAAAGTGATTATTTTAAATTAATAACAACATCTCCCTCCTCTCTTTATATGTATAGCCATCATGGCCAGTATGTTTTTCTCTGCTTTCTTAACAGAATTCACATTGTCCACTGAATGAAGAGGTAATTGCCCAAGCCAGAAAAATATTTCCTTCAGTGATAAAATATATTGTAGAAATGACTATATGGGAAGAGGAAAAAGAATTGCCTCCTGAACTCCAGATAAGGTGGGAAAAGTGTCAAAAGGGCCAGGTTATAGTGATGATTATTTATACTGCAGTGTAAGTGCTGAATAGCTGTTTTTCTTATGTACCGCTTAATTTATTATCATTATGAACAGTTTATAGAGAATTGTTTATTGGAAATATTTCCATATTATTCATTTATATGAGATGCATTGCTAGACTGTATACAGAGGTTAAGCTAAAAGAAGAGCAGGGCAGGAGCTTTTTATTTGGGGGAAAAATTAACATTTTGGGGATCTTGTTCTAAATAATATATAAGAACCAAGCAGCCTCTCATCCCAGTAGGTGAATAAATTGCCCAGTTTGATCCTGGCCTGGACCAGCCTCTAGGTACCTAAGAGGCTTGTGAACAAAGTTCGGGACTTATGAACAGCGTGTAATCTCTCACTTAGCTCAGGTCTTCAGATCTTTTTCTGATCAAGAGAAGTTTGATAGTGGGATTGAGGAAATAGCCCCTTCTCTTGTGCTTTGGTATCTAGGATTTTTGTGCTCATAGGGGTTTAACATATTTTAGCCATAATCCAGCAATTTCTAATAACTGTAAGTCTTTTGGTAACAGTAATATTTACCCTTAACTTACAAATGCAAAAAGGACTTTTGGACCTGATAGGCTATCCAGTTGGAGCCTTGTGGAAATTTTTCTACCTATCAGTGTTAGGAATTTCACAGAATTATAGCACAAATCTAAATGTAATCATTCTTTCAGTTCACTGGATTTTTGTTTTTAGAAGGAGAGAGAATTAGAGATTTTAATTCATGCAGACATTAAATATATTGTTTTGATTCTTGCTGGGACATTGTCTGTTTGCAGAAATAAAGGTCATGAGTAACTATGTCCACAAATATTTCAGAATCAAATAGGTGATAATGTCAATTAAACCATCTTTTGTATTGATAAACATAATATGAGCCATATCCCTACCAAAAAAAAGGAGAATTGCTTGAGTGTCATTGTTTATATGCGTAGTGCTGGTCTTCATATTCAAAGGTCCTCTCATTACTTATTGGAATTGATCATAAATAAAGCTTTTGAACTATTTGAGCCTCAGGTTCCTAAATATAAGAGCTAAGAGTATCTTCCTCTTAGAGTTATGAGGAATGTATTGTTAAAGCATATTGTAAAGTGAGAAAACTGTCCCAGATCTGGCGGCTTGCTTTCTCACTTTCTCTCTCTTTGTCTACCTCTTGTGAGCACACATGTCCTATAACAAAATTACTAAAAAAAAAAAACTAAAAAAGAATAATAATAAAATTAAATAAATAGCTCTTTTTTTTTTTTTTAAGATTTATTTATATTGATATATCCATTCTAATTTAACCAGAGAGGGGGAGAGAGAGAGGAAAAGTGAGAAAGCAAGCCACCAGGTCCGGGACTCGAATTGCGGTTGGCCATGTGGGAGTCCAGTGCCCTTCACCACCATGCCACCTGCCAGTCCCTAAATAAGTATTTCTTAAAAAAATTTATAAAGCATATTATAAACTATTTAGAATGATATTTTTTGAGATCTTCATACCACTCTTGTATATAGATACTTTGCTCGTCTTAGAGGTGGAAGAAACACTGTCATCTCACCAACGGTCCTGGTCCTGGTCCAAAATGAGAGCACTGGCACTTTATATACTTTAAACAAAACAAAACTTAAATGTACTATAATACCAGTATCACTTAAAATAGAAGGTAAACCCAGAAATAAATTTAATAAAAATTAAATATTAATAAAATTTGATTATTTGTCATTGCTTACTTGAAGGTTCTGGACTGGTGTCCCTTTATCAGTTTAGGACATTAACAGGAGTTGAGAGTGGTATCAAAGGGATACTGTCATTTAATGGAAATTTCTAAAAATGATAAAAGTGAGGGAAACACGGAAAAGGAAATACATTTTTCAAGATATTTTAAATTCCATGGCACTATACCACTTAAAATAATTTCCTGTTTCAGTATTACAGTGTTACTTTTCCACAGGTAGGGAAACTACATAGTGATGCTTCAGTAGAGATAACTTATTTATCTTTTTACTTTCTCCTTTGTTTATCTCTTGCAGTGCCTGAATATATATCTTTTTTTTCCCAACAGGGAGAAAAATGAAAGATACTATTGTGTCCTTTTCAATGATGAGCACC